CAGGAAACATCAGAAATAGTTGATTTTCACATAAATAGGATACAAGTAAGAGTATAAATGTTTTTTGGTTTTTATCTGAGAAATTATTTCTGATTTCATTTTTTCCAGATCCCCTTTTGTTGCCAGTTCAGTGGGTCCAGGTGGTTAAGTATTAAGAGTGTTCCATCTCATTTCCCTTTGGGGTTGCTGTAGGTGATCTGGAAATCTGGTTTTGAGACTTATTTACGTGTTTTCTCATTTCGACTGGGGCGGGGGGCTGTTAGCGCCTGCACAGATTACCTCTTCTGAGCTGGGAGAGGTGGGACAGGGGCCGGGAGCACTGGTAGGGATGGTAAAACAAAAGCCCTTTCCTGCGGGCTGGGAGCAGCGGGAGGGATGGTGGCCTGGAAGCCCCTTCCTCTGGGCCAGGAGCAGTGAGATGGCTGCTCAGAAGCCCCTACCTCTGGGCCGGGAGCAGCAGGACTCAGTACCTTGGTCTGGTGGTCTGGTGTCCTCTGCGTCTTTGTAGTGTGGAACCAGGTGGCTGCCTGTCTGCAGCGGGGTGATGCGGAATGATTCGGCGTCTTTTCGCGTGACTCAGGACCTCGGTAGGGTGTGCACAGACCTGCCTGTCTGCAGCGGGCTGATTCGGCGTGTTCCGTGCGACTCGGGACCTCGGTAAGGCGTGGGCAGACCTGCCTGTCTGCAGCGGAGTGATTCGGCGTCTTCCGCGTGACTGGGGACCTCGGTAGGGCGTGCACAGACCTGCCTGTCTGCAGCCAGATGATTCGGCGTCTTTCTCGCGACTCAGGACCTCCTGTTTTTTGGTTTTTAAATACTCTTTGCTGAAACTTTTTAAAATGTGTTCTCTTCTTGTGATACCATATTATACTACAACTAGTAACTAGTCAACTATAATATTGAAGTGTTTTAGAAGTTGGCAAATAAATGTTTTGTGTAATGATTGACATCACTGACATGTTATTAAAAATTTATCAATTTAGGGGCCAGTGATTTAGCTCAGTGGTTTTGCCACCTGCCTGGCAATCACAGGTCCTGAGTTTGATGCGCAGTACCCCCCCCAAAATTATCAATTTACTGTTTATATATTATACTATTACATATCAACAAAATATGGTACTGAAGTCATTTAGAAATTGGTGAATTGATAAATTTTGTGTAATCATAATATTTTAATTTATACCATAAACATGTCAATGAAAGTATATCAATTTAGTATTTACATACTATTTTATTTTGAGTATCTGTACAAAATATAAAGAGTGTGATATTTGGATAACTTATATCCTTAAAACTTTTATTATGCTTATGTTTTTCTTGTTCATCTTGACAGATCTGAATTTCTTTGGGGTATTCTTTAAAATAATGAAATATTATCAAAGAATAATTGTAAGCTTCTACTTGGAAATTGTATAAAAACTAATATCTTCAAATGTTAGAAAGACTGACCTTTTCAGAGGGGTACAATTCTTTCCTTGGGTAAAATAAGAATATTGTAAATATTTTACAAAGTTATTTAAATATAATTATATGAAAGAGTTGTTTAGGAAGATAGTGAACAATATGTAAATAAATATAATTGAGCATATATCTCTTTTATAGCAAATTAAAGGTTTTTTGAAATTTAAAGTTCTTTTTTTATTAGTGCATACTTGCAGTACATAAAAATTATATTTATAATGATGAACTGGTACATACCAAATTAAGGCTTATCAGCAAGATTGGTAGTAGATTCAAATTTGTTTCAAGCCTGTAATCCCAGTGATCAGGAGGCTGAAGCAGGAAAATCTCTGTGAGTTTGAGGCCAGGATAGGATACATAGAAAGCCCAAGTTCAAACCTCATAGGTATGAATTTCATAGCGAAAAATTGTCTAAAAACTAACAATAAAAGGGCAAACAAAAATATTTTTTCTGTCTTTAGCAAGGTATACAATGACAAATTGAAAAATAAAAATTACATGTATTTCAGGTGTACAACATGATGTGATTAACACAAGCAAACTTATTAACAGATCCATCACCTCATATAATTACTTTTCATGTGTAGGTGTGTGGCTGTGTGATGAGAATGGACAAGATCTATTCTTTTAGCAAATTTTAAATGTAAAATATATTATTATTAGTGTATTCCATACAATGTTCCTCACAAAGTCTCTAAAGCCTATCTAATAACTGCAGCTTTTACCATTGGACCAACTTGCCCACTTCCCTGTCTTCCCTCCACCCTTGGTAACCACTCTTCTACTCTACCGTTCTATGAAATCAATTTTTCTTTGGACCCTATGGGGAAGATCAGTTCTCACTGTGAGAGAACACCATTCAATCAACTAGGGATCCAGATGGAATGAAAAGATCCAGAAAGGGAGAAGTTTTTCTCTCTGTTCCAGAGCTTGAGTAAAAGCTCTCTGTCTTTTGGATTCAGAGGCTCATGCTAATGGACGGCTGAGCTCTCAGGGCTTTGGCCTTAGTCTGAGATGAATACCATCAGCTTTCTTGGCTCTAAGGATTTCAAATTTAAACTGAGTCACATTACCAACTTGCTTGTTTTCCAACTGGCAGGTAAATTATTATGGTCCTTCTCAGCCTCTTTCACTGTGCAAGCATCTCCCCTAATATGTCTCTTCTGTATCTATCTGTGCCTCTCTCCCTCTTACTGATTCTGTCTCTTAGGAGAACACTGATACATCATATAAATGACATCATGCAATATTTGTCTTTCTGTGTCTAGCTTACTTCACTTAGCATAATGCCTTTCAGGTTCATTATGTAAAGATGATTCATAATGATTATGAGAAGATAATTTCTTGTTAGAGTTTGAGTCAATAGGATTTTCTCATTATTTTCAACACATTATTAGCTCTTGATGAGTGACATTTTCTTCTACAAATTAGTGCTTAGTAATATTAATCAAAGACCTTATAGAGCTAAAGTCTGATGTTTGAATATTTGCCTTTATACATAAAGGTTATGTCTACATAATAAAGATAGATAATTAGGATAGTTTGAAGTCAAAAGGCAGCCTCAAACCCATGTCCTACTTTATTATCTGAATATTTTATACTAAATTACCTGTTCTACTTAATGATAGTAGCTGTCATTTTATGCAACAAGCATATGCTAACAGCTATAAATAAATTGAATTAAGCCTGGCTATCCATATAAGATATGTAACATTAACTTTATTTTACAGTTTAAAAAAACATGTAAAGGATCTATTTTATCAGAAATAGCAAAAACATTGAAGGCTGGCCTTTTTACTCAAAAGTCTGTGTTTTAAAATACTACTACATATAGTTTCAATCAAACTAACTAATATTCGAATAGCAGATGCTTTCCTAATAGCACTTAGCAACTTTAATAACATTTTTAAATGTTTTAAATAACATATTTTTAAAATTTTAGCCATGTAGTCACCAATGGTAAGCACGCCTGCTAGGTTGTTCATTCAAACCTGGATTTCAGTGAAGCAAACTCCACTACTAGTTTTCACAACTGAATTTTTTTCTGTAATATATTTTGAAATGTGTAAGTAGCTCTCAGTACAAAGAGGATTTAAAACAGTAAATTGTGTTAATCATTTGTTTTATGGAAGTAGTTACTATATTTAATAACGCTGGAAGTTAAATTATTTTCTAAAAGTGGCATTGTTGTGGTAACATAAGACATCCTCTCTATTAGGGTTTTTGCTTATTAAGTATTCATATCCAGCATTTCTGTACAACTATTCTCTTCTGTTTCATTCTTATTTTTCTCCAAAATGTCTTTGCATTCTTCAAAATCATGTGTTCTTTCTTATTCAAAAGTTATGTGTGTCTCTCATTTTTGTCTTTATATTCCAAGAAAAGTAACTATTTATCAACTCTTAAAATTTTTTTTTTTGTACTGGGGATTGAACTCAGGACCTTGCACTTTCCAGACAGGCTTGGCACCACTGAGCTACATCCCTGGCCCCTTAGAAATTTTGTTTAAATGTCAAATAATTCTTTCATCAAGTAAATGAATACTTCACATGGTAAATAATTCCATAAAAATACTACCTACCAGTCAGCTGTTAAGTTAGCTGTTTATTAAATAATAGTGTTTGTTTGGGATCATAATTGTATATAATATGTTTATTGCCTACAAGAAAGACATAAAAAAACACCATCTTGCCATCTTGTTTAGAATTCTGAGTTCAGGTTGCATGGAAAATTATCCTTAATTCAAGTTCTACCTGGTTGGTGGACAACTTTCCAAGTCTCTCTCTAGATAAAATAAAAACTATATGTTTGAGAAGGAATGAAGAGTATATGGGGTGTGGAAGAATGCAACATAGCTGAATAGAGGAGGAGCTACATTGGAGCTACTCAAAGAAAATCAACTAAAAACACAGGCAATTGGAAGAAAGGGAGGGGCATACATCCTGGTCCTAAAATCAATCTGAAATAAGAGACTTGCAGAGCAAACAAAAACATAGCCATAAGACTTTATAAAATGATAAACCAGCCCATAGGGCTGCTCTGGGCATGGAACAGGATCCACCATTCCCAGGAAGTTCTCCAAAAAAAGGAGAGACTGCAAATGTGTGGCAAACTCAATCCACACAGTGTAGATCTGGAACATAAGGCCCCTCGCCTATTTTGCTTTCCTGCAAACAGAGGAAACTACAGCCTGGCAACAAATTTCACCAGCACGCACAGGGATGAGTGACCCAGGAAGCTGTTCCTTCCTCAATAGGCAGCCAGTTGTTTTGTTTATTTGTTTGTTTGTTTATTTCTCTCTCTGTCATGCATCACACCAGCTAACTGAAACCTCTAGTGACAATACAGTTAGGGACCAGCAGTGACATTGAGGATAGCGAATGGAACAACATTGCTCCTCCTACACTATGACCAGTAGGAAAAAGGGACTCATATGGGTGGATGCAACTGAACAGCCATGAATGTGGCTGAGCAGCAGTGTAAGCAGCCTTGGGGAACAGGCACAAGGAGTGGGAAATTAGCACCCTGCCTCCCTGCAGCCAGCAGTGCAAGCAACTTTGGGCCAGAAATCAGCATTCCCTCTCATTGTGACCAGCAGTTTAAGCAGCCTTGGGCTGTGGCAGCAGGACAAGGAGGGCAGCTTGTGAGGGGAGCCAGCACTGTGGAACAGAGGAGCCTGTGCAAGGTCCAGGAAGGGCCAACTGTACACAGGACTGGGAACAGCCTCAGGTTGTCTCTGCCTGAGAGCACCACAGCAACCAGGAGAGCAACTCAGAGACGAACAGAATAAGATGTGGATTGGCTATCCAGAAAGCTGCTGGCTAAAGACTGGCCCCAGCTGCCACATCCAGAGGCCAAGATCAGCCTGCACCCAACACTACTCCTACTTCAAACTTGGGAGATTACCTAGCAGAGATTTGGGCTTCCACAAAACTGGGCACACTAGAGGAATTTTCTTTCTTTTTCCTCTCTTTGTTTATTAGTTTGTTTTGTTTTCCTTTTTCTATCAGGTTTTTGGGCACAGGAGTGTTTAGGTTTTGACTTTTATATTTTGTTCTGTTTTTGCCATCTTGTTTCTCCCTTTCCTCAATTATCTTTCTTGATTTTTTCATATTTTCATGTGAATGAACATTGTCATTAGTCTTTCTGGTTTGCCTCAATATTCTTTTGATTTCTCCTTCATTTTTTCTCTTTTGTCTGCTTTTCCAGTTTCCCAAAGCTTAGGTGATCATTCTC